TAGGCCATTGCCAAGGTTCTGCTCTACCTTATCCCTCTGTGTTTATGGCTCTCTGGTTCAGTGGCGAGTTGCAGGCCTTTCTTGAGGTCTCAGGTCCCAGCATTTAGCAGAGTGCCCAGCACATAGTAGGAACTTACTAGAAAGTATTTGTTGACTTTAGTCCAGGCATGGTGGTTTATGCCTATAATCCCAGCACTTTCGTAGGCCAAGGCAGGTGGTGCGGATCACGAGGTCGAGAGATTGAGACCATCCTGGCCAGTATGGTGAAACCACATCTCTATTAAAAATACATAAATTAGCAAGGCATGGTGGCACATACCTTTAGTCCCAGCTACGTGGGAGGCTGAGGCAGAAGAATCGCTTGAACCCAGGAGGTGGAAGTTGCAGTGAGCCGAGATCGCGCCAGTGCACTCTAGCCTGGTGACAGAGCGCAACTCCAACTCAAAAATAAAAGAAAGTATTTATTGATTTTGATAAAGGAATACCAGTGTTTACCCATGGAGGCCTGAGTATCAGGGAGGTTAAAAAGAAAATCTGTGTAAACTTCAAGTACTAGGAGTGGGGTGAGAAAGAGTAGTCCAAGGCACTGCCGAGAAAAATCGTGCCAGGCCTCAGGTCTGAATGGGGATGGCTACCATTCATGAGCCAGGAAGACCCAGAACTAGGAGGCCAAATTACAGATGGCGTACAAGGGACACACGCAGGGGAATGGCTCAGGTTTAGCCACCAAATTGGAAGGATGTTGATGTCCCACTGTTTTAGGGCATCAGCTGCGTGACTTGGAGGAGAGGGCTACCTTGTTTACTTTATTTTATTTTTTTGAGATGGAGTCTTACTCTGTTGCCCAGGCTGGAGTGCAATGGTGTGATCTCAGCTTGCTGCAACCTCCGCCTCCTGGGTTCAAAGAATTCTCCTGCCTCAGCCTCCCAAGCAGCTGGGAGTGCAGGTGCCCAGCACCATGCCCAGATAATTTTTGTATTTTTAGTAGAGATGGGGTTTCACCATGTTAGTCAGGTCGGTCTTGAACGCCTGACCTCAGGTGACCCACCCACCTCTGCCTCCCAAACTGCTGGGATTACAGGCATGAGCCACAGCATCCAGCTGAGAGGACTACCTTATGGTGGCTGAGTGGGCCAGACACAGGCAGTTTGTTCCTTGAAGCTGAGTGTCTACAGTCTCTTCTTCATCTGTATCCTCCCAGCTCTGAGCACCGTGCCTGACACTTAGTGGATGTTTGTTGACTAAGTGCCATGCACAGACAGTATGTACTGGACAGAACATGATGAATCACCATATGGGAAAATGTTAGCTCAACTAAATAAGAGAGGACACAAACAGATGGAGAAACATTCCATGTTCATGGTTAGGAAGAATCAATATCATGAAAATGGCCATACTGCCCAAAGTAATTTACAGATTCAATGCTATCCCCATCAAGCTACCAATGACCTTCTTCGCACAACTGGAAAAAACCACCTTAAACTTCA